CCCCCCCCCCCCCCCCATGAAGTTCAGATAATTCTTACACGTTTGTTTCTTCTAATGGTAAAATCGAAAGGGAAGGGAAGGGGATTTAGGCTGAACACCCATTGCCCTTCTCTCCAATATTTAGAACACTCTTCACATGCTCTCAATGGAGGCTCTTCATAAAATGTTCTTCTGCTCAGAGATGGGGACACGTGTGGGCAAGGCAAGGGTTCCGGCATTTTAGAGCTTCACACGTGTAAGCATAACCTGCCAAGTGTCTGCACCCGTGTCACCTACTCGCTCATTCCCTCTTCCTCCCTCCTCTGTTACCAAAGCCCGAACCGTTCCACAAGAGATCTTCATTTCCGTGAAAATGTCCTGCACCTCTCCCTTCTCTTTCACTCTCATAAGGAAAACGCTTCCCATTTATTATTCTTCGTCTTCCTCTTCCAATCTGGTGATCCCTTCGTTCCCTTCCCATGGCGAATTCCTCCCCTTTAAAAACTCTGCGCCTCTCTCGCGTTTTCTGCTTGTCGGGGACTCGCCGGAGTTTCCCCAAAAGAGCCCCATTCCGGAGCCTTCTGTCCCCCTCGAAATTCCTCAAATTTCGACTTCTCCAGAGATTGACCCGATCACTCCGCCAGAGCTTCCGCCGTTAACTCCCGGGCCGGATTTTCCTGGATTGCCGTCTCCCTTGCCTCCCGGACCCGACTTACCAGTTCCGCCGGTTCCATCCCCTCCAGGCATCGACGTACCCATACCACCCCATAAGCCTCCAGATATAGAGCCGCCAAGGCCTGGGTCGCCGGTGCCAGAACCGGACATATTGCCGCCGCCACCACCGGAGTTTCCACCGCCGAGGCCTCCCGGTCCGGAGATATTGACGTCACCGTCTTCCCCTGATATTCCTCCGGTATCTATGTTTTGATGTGGATGGTAATGATTCTTCCGGTTGTAATCTGTCAGTTCTTAAATTACAAGTTTTAATCTTTAAATGTTTTTTTTTTATGCCTCAAATCACTAGTTGGTTGGTTTTCTTGGTTTTATATGTCCATTGCTTTCTAAAAGTTCTAAGCAAAGTCACTAGAACTTACCTCAAAAGTAGACAATATCGTATCATTGAAGGGAGTCGTGGGCTAACATGGTATCAAAGTCATGTCATAAATCATTTAGTCGTACCAATAGATTGGTAAATCTTCACATCTCGAACAGAGGACTACAAAAGAACAAGCCTCCTCGAAGGTAGTAAAAAATGACTAAGACTCCAAAATAGTCGAACTTCGATTAAATGTAAGCGTACTTTGTTCGAGGGGAGGACTTGGATGATAAAAGTCTCACCTCGGCGAGGGGAATGAACATCTTTTTATAAACAAAGAATACTCTCACACCATTGAAGAGGTCTTCCCTTCTGGGGAAGTCCATGGCAAGAGTCCTGGTGTAATGTGTTGGTGGGTGGGTTCGAGGGGGGAAGGTGTTGGAGGTTTTGATTTACCATTTTAATTAATTTATTTATTTATTTTCTTTTTATGTACTTAATTAATTACCAAAAATAATTATTCAATTAGAATAAATTAATAGTAATTCATTTAAATATACATGTAATTCATTTCTACAAATAAAAGTTAATTAAATGAATGTATTACTTATTTATTAAATTATTCATTAATTAGTTGATTACGAGAGGCTAATGTGGAAGGGTAGTTTCGACCATTTTTACTAATGGATTATTTATAATCCTCGGATTAGCTTATTTAAAATTAAATTTCAACTCCACTATAATTCGATTATTTTTTATGGTTCAAAATAGGTTATAATGTATGATAATTATAAAATTATAAAATTTTATTAAAAGCATTTATTTGAGGATAATTTTAAGATTATTGTTTTTAATTGTACAACTAATTATTTAAAATATTAAATATTATAATAAAATATCTGATAATACTAATGTAAATAAAATATAAATGTTATTTATTTATATGAAATTACATGGCATCTTCTTGTTCCTCACGTAGGAATTAATTTCATAATTTAAGTTCGATTTTCCACGAAGTGAAATATATATATATATATATATATATAATGTAATTGTCGTCATAAAGTTTTAACACGCAAAGACCAAAAAGAAATAATAATAATAATAATAATGTCCCGACCAAAGCTTGATTTTAGGGTTTTGAATTGAAAGTCAATTCCCCATTTCCACGTCTTCCTTTTTGAACCTCTCCCACGTGTACACGTGTTAATTCCTCTCCTCGAGATGAGAAAGCCTTGTTCAATTTTTATCTTCGAAAACTAGGAATTTCTGTCTATTTTTTTTAATTTTTTTAAATGGTTCTTTGAAAGATATTAAATTTATGATATGGTTGAATATATACGAACACGACTCTCCATAATAGCATGATATTGTCTACTTTGAGCGTTAGCTCTCATGCGCTCATGATTTTACTCTGGACTCCTCAAAAAGGTCTCAAACTAATGGAGAGAGTATTCATTGATCATTTTAATTAGTCGACTGGGACTTTCATCGTCCAACAATATTTATATATTTTTTATATGAAAAAATTGGAGACGGGGGAGAATTGGGCATGGATTTGGGGCAAGACTTTTATTAGGTCAAACAGAGTACAAGTTGCTAAAGTTTGTCCATTATGTCAAGTTGGTGGGAGACTTGGAAGGGAAATTCTTCTCTACAAAATAACCTAAATTTGACTCATTAATATTAGCTTTAATTTCTTTTTAAAATCAAATACACTTCAGATTCCGCCATTCCCAACTCACCCCTGTTTTTTTTTTTTTTCCTCCTCTCTGTTTCTGTTTGTTTCCCGAGAAAATCCTCTGTTTGAAGAAAGAAAAAAAACATGGCGGAAGTACTGAGTGAAGAACAGATCGTGGAGTTTAAGGAAGCGTTTTGTCTCTTCGACAAAGACGGCGACGGTGAGTGCCCTTTCTTTCTCTTCTGATTTCCTTTTCCGGAATTAACGTTGTTTCTTAGGTTGCATTACGATTGAGGAACTAGCGACGGTGATCCGGTCGTTGGATCAGAATCCGACGGAGGAGGAGCTGCTGGATATGATCAAGGAGGTGGACACCGATTGTAATGGAACCATCGAATTCTCTGAGTTTCTCAATTTGATGGCCAAGAAAATCAAGGTTTGATCACACGACCAAACCAACGAATTCACGACATGTCGTTCCGACAATCTCAAAGTCAATGTTTGAATCTTGATTCTGTTTTTGAACAGGAAACTGATGCAGAAGAAGAACTTAAAGAGGCTTTCAAAGTGTTCGACAAAGATCAAAATGGTTTCATCTCAGCTACTGAGGTCAATTTTCTTCTTTCATTTTATACAGACGAACACAACTCTCCATAATGATATGATATTGTCTATTTTGAGCATGAGCTCTAGACCTCGTGCCAATGGAGATAGATGAACACGACTCTCCACAATGGGGTATGATATTGTCCACCTTGAGCATGAGCTTTAGACCTCGTACCAATGGAAAGAGTATTTGCTCTAAATTAGCCGATGTGAGTCTTTCATCATCTAACACCTCTCCTCGAACAAAGTGCGTCTCCCCTTAATTGAGGCTCGACTCCTTTGGAGTTTTAGTCATTTTTTACTCCCTTCGAAGAGGCTTGACTCCTTTTTCTTTTGGAATCTTTTGTTCGATGTTTGAGGATTTACCAATCTATTGACACGATTGATTGGTACGACTAAGTTTAGGGCATGACTCTGATACCATGATAGACGAACACAACTCTCCACAATGGTATAATATTGTCGATCTTGAGCATGAACTCTCATGGCTTTACTTTGGACTTCTCCAAAATGCCTCGTACTAATGGAGAGAGTATTCTTTGTTTATAAACTCATGATCATTCCTTAAATTAGCGTACGTGGGACATTCATCATCTAACACCCTTCGTAATTTTTCCACATTTTCTATTCTTATTTTCTCTCCTCCCAAACACTCATTTTTAAACAATTATAATTAAAATTGTATAAAGTTGAATGATTTTCAGCGGAAGATCTAACGGCTGAAATTTGTTTAATTATGTGCAGCTGAGGCACGTGATGATCAATCTCGGGGAGAAGCTAACAGATGAAGAAGTGAAGCAGATGATCGAAGAAGCCGATCTGGACGGTGATGGTCAAGTCAATTTTGATGAATTCGTCAAGATGATGATGACCGTTGGATGATGATTAAAACTAGCCTTTCATCAACGGACCAAAAAGCTTACTCCAATTCATTTATTTTCATACAATTTAATTTATTTCCTGTTTTTTTTTTCTTTTTAAATAATTATTAATTTGTGGTATTTTCTTTTTGTTTTGATCCCTAAGTTTATGAAATTTATTTTTCGTAGATATAATAATAAAAGTCCAAATATAAAATATGGTCTACAATTTTTTTTTTCAATTTTTAATTGGGTCGTCAAATTAAAAAAAAAATAAAAAAAATCAATTTTGTCCTCCTACGAAAGTTTGTTAACAGAAAAATGTTTTATAAAAAAGCTGATGTGACATTAAATAATTATTTTATTAATATCTAGATAAGATAATATAATATACTACTTGATGCTAATTCTCATATTAAAATTTCCACTTGTGAATTAACAAAAATAAATTATTTTAATAACATTAATAAAATACAAATTAGCTTAATATTATCATTTTAACTCGAAAATAACTCTATCTACGTTATATCTCAAACTACGGAGTCAAAAATCGGATTCCAGCTTATATGTTATTGAGTTAAAAGGATAATTAATTTTAATTAATTAAAGAATGTTTTAATTATGGATTTTGGATGTTGAAAGTAAAATTAAATAATTTGAGCGTTAAAATATCATTTTCGTCTCGATATTTTATATTAAAAATATATATATGTCTATTATTCTTTTTTCAAAATGTTTATAATATGTATTTTTTTTAGGGTAATAATTACATCATAATAAATATTAAAAGGGTATTTGGTGAATATTGACTTTGACCATGCCTTGTTGGACCATCCAAATATCCAATCCAATCAGCTTCAAGACGCGTGTTGTTGAGAATTAAATTTATTTGATTTATTTTTATCATCTTCTCTTCCACGTATTGATTTATTAATTTCATTAAATAATGTTTATTCTAAACTATATTTGGCTATAATTTAATTAAATAAAACATTATATTTAATAAATTGTATATTGCATTCACAATCAAATCCAAATAAGAAAAAGAATTAAATGCAAATTTAAACCACAAGATGAGATGATGACCTGTAAATTTGGCGGGAAGAGAAGTGTACGGACAGTGCGAACAAGCTTGTAGAACCGTAGCAGGAAGGGAAGAAAACCAGTGAAAACCACTCAGAAATTTGAATTCGAGAGAAAATCCGATCAATTGATTGCAGTAGCACAGCAGATGCAGGTTCCGAAGATTAGGGATTTGCTTCTGCGCTTCCCTTTTCGAATCGGCGATGGCGGTGGTAAGTCTTTCACTGCGTTTTTAGTGGCGCCTAATTTATGTTGATTGGTTGCTGTGGATTCCATCTCCGATTCTCCTTTTTCTTTTGCGAACCCTGGGAATGAAGGTCTCGATTTCTCTGATTCGCTTCTTCCTAGCTTTACAACTCGCTTCTCCGTCGGATTTGGGAAGCTAATCTCCTGCAGATTTTGTAAGTCTTCGATTGTCTTGATCTGGTATAACAATGGAATTTTCTCTGTTTCTACTGTCTTTCCTTCGCTTTGGATATCTATATTGAAGCTAGGCGATTTACGCATTTCGATATGAGCGACTGAATTGTCGGAATTTGATTCGTTGCTTGTTCTTCCTGGAGATTCTTGATTTTCCTCTCTGAATGTTGAGAGGGGAAGTGTTGTTACATTCTGTTCGTCGATCGGATTTGTCGATGGTTTAGTTTCTGTGAATGTTGCTGAAGCTGTTTGTATATAATGTGGAGAGTCTGAGGAATTTTTCTTGGATTTTTCAGATGCTTTTTCGGTTATTTGCCTCAGTGTTGAGATTGATTCATCTGTACTTTCTCCAGTTTGAAATGTGATCGAAGCTTCCTTTTGATGGCTTTGAGGTTGAAGCCCTAAAAGAGGTTCAAATAAGTTTTCCTCTGGCTCTCGTCTTTCCCCTTCATGTCCAACGTTTGTTGAAATTTCCGTTGTCTCTCCCATCCCTTCATTCTTATGCTTGCAATCTCCAATAGATGAATTGAAAACTTCCATAACTTGTTCAGAAATTTCCAGATATTCTTCATCTGAATCCTCGCAATCTTCTCCAGGAGTCTCGTTCTGGTTTCTGACAACAGATTCAGAAGCAGCATTTTCCTCGGAGTGCGACCTAATCGTGTTAAATTCCTCTTGGACCTCATTTGAAATCTTAGATTGAGTTGGAAGATTGTCTTGAACGATTGTTTCAGTTCCCTGTTCTCTTAATTGGGGTTTTTCTTTCAAAACCGTGCGTCTGTTTTCAACCTCAGGAACTTGCATGCATGGCTTCGGTAATTCTATCACCAGACTCTCTTCCGGTTGTGAACATGAAGTATTATGACCGATCAAATCTATCGCAGTTTCTTCATCTTTAGTATCGACAATTTTGGCTGCTGGCATTGTATTTTCATGCCATGGCCTTGGCTCTATTATATCACAGTTCTTCTCCATATCTGTCTCTGCCTCTGCGCCGAAACAATCCACGTTAGTTAATTTTTCTGTGCACATGAAGTGATCATTCTCCTCAGTATGTTCCAAACTAGAGCCGAAACAGTACTTGCTTTCTTGTAAGGATCCATCATCACTTGATCCCCCCAATGATTCTGCCTTTTCAGGCAATCCATGATGAATAGACTTAAGATCTGAATTCTTTTCAGATTTTGGATCGTCCTGTACATGTAACGTCTTGACATCGTAGCTTTTTCCCTTCTCTGCATCATGCTCCTTATCTGTATCTCGAAGAGCATCAATAACTTGATCAGCATCGAAATCTGAGGGCTTTCTTAATTTTGGAGCTTGTGCTATCATGTCGAAGTTGGAAACTTTTTCCTTCAGTCCATCACCTTCCTTATCAGTATCTTGATTGGTTTCAATAACTTGATCAGCATCAAAATTTGAAGTCGTTTCAGATTTTGGATCTTCTGATGCTTGTTTTCTCGTGTCAAAGTTGGAATCTTTTCCCCTTGCTCCATCATTTTCATTATGTTTTTCTTGATCATTATCAATAACTTGATCAGCAACAAAATCTGAAAAGTTTTCAGATTTTGGGTCTTCTGATGCTTGTGTCATCGTATTGCAGTGTGAACCTTTGATCCTCTCAATATCACCTTTTTCTTGATCATTATCAATAACTTGATCAGCAACAAAATCTGAAAAGTTGTCAGATTTTGAGTCTTCTGATGCTTGTGTCATCGTATTGCAGTTTGAACCTTTGATCCTCTCAATATCACCTTTTTCTGTCTTCTGATGCTTGTGTCATCGTATTGCAGTTTGAACCTTTGATCCTCTCAATATCACCTTTTTCTTGATCATTATCAATTACTTGATCAGCAACAAAATCTGAAACGTTTTCAGATTTTGGGTCTTCTGATGCTTGTGTCATCGTATTGCAGTTTGAACCTTTGATCCTCTCAATATCACCTTTTTCTTGATCATTATCAATAACTTGCTCAGCAACAAAATCTGAAAAGTTTTCAGATTTTGGGTCTTCTGATGCTTGTGTCATCGTATTGCAGTTTGAACCTTTGATCCTCTCAATATCACCTTTTTCTTGATCATTATCAATAACTTGCTCAGCAACAAAATCTGAAAAGTTTTCAGATTTTGGGTCTTCTGATGCTTGTGTCATCGTATTGCAGTTTGAACCCTTGAGCCTCACAATATCACCTTCCTTTTCTGTATCTCGATCGGTATCAAGAACGTGATCAACATGAAAATCTGTTGTTTTTTCAGATTTTGGATCTAAGTTGGAACCTTTACCCCTCTCTCTATCATCTTCCTTATCTGCATCTCGATCAGTATCAATAACTTGATCAGCATCAAAATCTGAAATCTTTTTAGTTTTTGGATCTTCTGATGCCTGTGTTATCTTGTCGAAGTTTGAACCTTTTCCCCTCACTCCATTTTCCTTATCAATACCTCGGCCAATACCGAGAACTCGATCCATATTGGTGGTTTCTTCTGAATCTGCCATGGCACAGTCTGCTGAATGGTAAGTGTCGTTCAAACTCAATCCCAAAGCATCCTTGCATTCTTCTGGAGACTTGTTGCTATCTTCTGTGAAAGATTCGGCTTTAATGTTGAGCAATTCATGCTGAGTACTTTTGAAATCTGAAGTCTTTTCAGGTTTCGGCTCATCTAATGCTAGTATTGTTGTGTTCAAATTGGAAACTCCCTCCCCTTCTTCCTCTGTTTCAATTTGGAGCATACAAAACGATTGATTAGATGCTATGAAGTTTACTAGTACTACATACAATTAAATTACAGAAGTAAGGGAACTTCTGCTGACCTTCCTGGTTTGAAGCCTGCTTTTCATGCTCATGCTCATTTCCGTCCGATCTATTCTCTTCCGGATCAAACTCTTTTGTTTTATCCTCTTTAGAGTTGGCCTGGACTTCATTGTCCTCTTTAGTTCTGTCTGGTAGCTTTTCAGAAACCACATGAAACTCTGCCGTATTACATTCTTTATTTTTTTCTTCCTCTGCATAAATATATAGGGACAGTAGGTTGGATAAGACTCTAGAATACTAGAAGTTATCTATAACAGAGATGTTAAAATTCTGTGCAGACCTTTATCTATGACATGGTGATTTCCATTTAGTTTATCTGCACCATCCGAACCTGGCCTAGCCTCTTTTTGGCTGAAGTCTGCAACTTCATCCGCTTTGACTTCGTTGGCCCCACCTTCCAGTAAAGATTTTTCTGGATCAGTTCTTGCCTGTTCTTCCTCTGCATCAATAGAACAGAAAACACGATTATACATGTCGTAAACTAGTCTTACCGAGGCTATTCAGACTTCAAAATTACCTCTAAATTCAGATGTGTTATTGTTTCCCATCTCATTTCCCATATTCAACTCAACAAATCCTGCTATTAAGGGGTTTAATACACAACACTCACAATTCTATAACTGACAAGCTGAATAAAATCGGCATTAAAGGGGGCTTCTATACTTCAAACTTCCTTACCATTGTGATGATCATGATGATATTTGACAGCGTGATCTGTTGTAGACAGCTAGGTTGTTGACACAAGATTAAACAATTTCAGAAATGTTGCTTAGAACATAAGCTCTAAATGAGTAATCTGTCAGCCGAACTCTTTCAACCTCTCACTCCTCTCTGACACTGGTTCAGCTTTATAGCTTTCAAGATTTTGTTTAGTACATAAAGTTCGACAATCTTCCACTCAAATGAGCGCTAATGATCTGTCGTTATGATTGTGCTTTTGCAACTAAAATTTCTAGACTGTTTTCAGTATTTGTTGGAAAAGGTTGTTGTAGTGGTAACCTTAAAGCAGGGGTACATCCAAACTGGACATCACTGGAGCTGCCATTTCTGGGGTAAAGCGCCTTCTTGCTGTGTTTTTCATTAACAAATTCAATCCCCCATATGTACTTTTCATCATTTTCACTATTTTTAAAGGGAATGGGTCGGCTAACTAGAATTGCAATTGCTATATTATTGCATTGTCATCATTCTGCGATGACATCTGTAGATGAACTGCACTCCTCAAAATTGTTTAGAGATAGATAGTCTTGATTACAAACTAATAAGTTATGAGTCCCTTTGATTAAAGTTAGAGCTTAACTGATATAATCATTCTCGGTTGGAGTTTTTTTTTTTTTTCTTTTCGAACAGGTGGGCCGATTGATCAACATTTCTTGAGCTTTAATCTTGTTGGTGGTTGATGCAAGGTGGCTGAACTCCATTATTTGGGAGGACGAGTTCATCATATCAGTAATTTGGTATGTAAGTTCTCTACCTGTCTATTGCACCTTTAAGAGTTAAATAATTGGGCTGCTCTGCTTTTTCCTCATTAACAAAATCAAAAGATAATGGTGGGGGATACCCACTAATCAGCTTTTCCGGCAAACAATTGATGAAGGAAATGAATATACGCATTGGGACCGTACATCTGCCCATTTGTTTCTGTTACAGTGTAGTTTTCGAACTTCAAATTTGATTAATTATTGTTGATGATTTAATGATTACAAAAATAAAATGGTTAGAAAATTATTTGATCCATCAAAATTTGACGCAGGTAACGTATTACCTTTAATAATTTATTTGTTAATGACATACCATCGGCTACTTTTGTAATTATTTTATGTTTTTGGCTTTAATAAATTAACTTCTCTTCTTTTTTAATTTTAAAAACAAAATCTATTTGTTTACTCATCCTGTCTATTTTCATTTTTCTTATGAACACATTACAAATTTTAATTAAAATTTAAAAAACAAAAATAATTTTTTAAAAACTATTTTTTAGATTTCAAAACATTTTAAAACACATGTAAAAAAAAAAAAAACAAATAAGCTTATGGGTGGACCATAGGTTAAAGTAGTAATTCTAGGCTAAGTTCTGGAACCAAAAAAATATCTGGGAACAAAATTATGAACCTACGACTATTTTTTTTTTTTTTTTTTTTTTTTTTTTTTTTTTTTTTTTTTTTTTTTTTT